GAAATATGGAGGGATGGTTCCGTTCAACTTTTTGGTGCGCTATATTTTTTCCTATTTTAGAAAGTGTTATGGTTATCAGTTTGCTTATTTAAGTATTATTATGATAATCATATGAGATAACGGTCATTTAAGGTAAGACCGAGGTCATAATGACTTAATTTGATCGTCATAATTAATTTCGTCATTTTTTGTGTTTGCCAGGTTTGTGGCGCCGATTACCTGAGCTATGAATCAGATTTCAAAATCAGGGCATTACTTCAATGTGTGCCAGGTTTGTGGCACAGTCAAATTCTTTAAAGTTCGTTCATTTTAGTGTTAGGATCAAGACTCTTATTAATACTAAGGATGAAAAAAAAAACAGTTTTAAACACTTTTTCACCGATTTAAAATGGTAATGATTAAAAGTCCGAATAGTTAAATTTGTTTTTAAATATATTAAGAACATAATCATCACCTGTTTTTAATTACGTAATAAAAAATATTTTCCATCCATACCTTAATGTGTTTGTTCCACTAAAGATATAGATAAGACTATGACGCATAATGGCCTGCATGTCATTATACAAGTTGGTCACATTATTATCAAATTGTGTAAACCCAAAAGTATCCAGTGTCGTCCATTTTGATTCAGTAGAATCAAAAGTATAAATAAGCGATGGTTTAAAAAATCCTAACGATGTTTCGTAAGCTACTCCACCAATGATGTAGATAGTAGAGCCATCAACAGGACTTAAACATGCAGAGCCAAATTCTGCGTTTACCGGTGCAGTAGCTTTTGTGTCTATACGCCAAGGGGGATTAGAAATGTCGAATGATTTAGACAAATCCAGTGAAATGGTTTCGTTAGTGTATTGTGGTTTTCCTACGTAACCACCCATCGTGACTATACGAGTGCCAACTAAGACGCTGGCCTGGTACTGTCGAGGATCCGGGATAAGTTGACATGAAACAGAAACAAACAAGAATAAAATAAATAGTATTGTCATCATATTTATTATAAAGGACAAATTATTATGGTTCAGTTTAAATTATAGATAAAAATTAATAATTTGATTTAACTTGGGACTGTAACAATGATTATAGGATTCTGAGAAATGATAATCCGAATTTTGAAAAATGATAATTCGAAGTTTGAAATGATAATTCGAAGTTTGAGAAATGACAATTTAGAGAATATTTATAAAATTTTGTGTATTAGAGAAGGTCCTTTAGATCTTATAAATGTTTCTAGGCGATGCTACGGAAATATTTTATCAATGAATTATCGATCTTTATCAATGAATTCATTATTTTAATTATTTTAGAATCCAAGATGTTTGAGTTACACGATGTACTTTCGTCACAGAAGTGTAGAATGCAGTGTTACTTTTCTTCTTTCTTTCATAGATTTCATCAAATTATAAAATTTATTACTTTTGGAATTTAGTATATAGATTTAATAACTATCATTGTACATTACGGCATATTTGTCACAAATCCAGGCCAAAATTTAATTTTAGTTACCAAGTTACATATTAATTAATCAATGTCAAGCCCTGAAAAAAACCGGATCTCTGATTTATATGATAACATTTTACCATCGCTTGGAAGTTGCCTACAGTCGTGCATGATGATTAGTTTACTTAATAATTATTAAAACAAATTAATGCAATCTTTATTTACATTCATTTTTCAACCAAGATGAGAGCACGCATAGAGATCCGTCTGCATGATTAATACATCCACCTCTAAGCCATACATATTATAGAGTAAAGCACCTCATTGTCATTAACCTTATCGCTGATCTACACCCACAGTAACTCCAACTCATTGTCATTTATGAACAAAAACCACTAAGAATAACAGAAACTGCGGTACAAATATGGAAGGTAAGTAACTTAATAATTAGACAAATATGGAAGGTAGGTAACTTAATAATTAGACAAATATGGATGTGAGGAACATAGCACAAAATTATAATTAAACGCGTTTAGCCCATTATCTAGCCTATTTTGATGCATCACACGAAATCATACGAAAATATATCATCCGATGTCTTCGTATCAGGCAGCTAATAAACTCGCAAATTGTATATGCAATATTTATGAATAACTTTATGAATAACCAAAGAAACAGATAAGGATAGTATTGATTTTTTACACTTTAATAATTCGGTCGCCACTGACCATAGTTTTTTTTTTGCATACTATATAACGCACAATCAATCAAAAATTGCAAGTTTGCAAACCCTGAATAGATTTACATAATCTGACTAATGATAAATACGAACATATAATCATCAAACTTGCATATTAACAATTTTGAAAATTCTGCTTTAGCTAAATGACGCCACATTTTTATTCACATGCAAATTGACAAATAAATCAAATTAAATACTTTACTGTTATTGTATACCTTATACAACACAAACGTGTATGATCCAAATTAGTTAAAGCGATAAAAGATACAAGTTCAGGCATTCATATATAGTTAGACAAATCTTTATACAACATACAAATATAGCGCTATATATGCAATATCGTGAAGTTTATATACATAATTTTACATTTTACTGCGCTTAATACGTACGCACATAGTCCAATAGTTATAAGATTTTGCGGAAGTAAATCATGTCATAACGATAAGATGTGCGAATGCATATTTTTTGGCTCTGCATTGCATAGTGCAGCATAATGCAGCATGCGACATTATGAAATCATAGTGTTCTACCAAATCAAGAAGCAAGATTCATACCCAATCTTTCTTATCTCTAGACAGAAGTTTACTATTTTATGGTATCTCAAACCTCATATCTTTATATAGATAGGAAATCACTAACTGATGCTACATATCACTTAGTATTATATAATATAAAATATAATATTTTATTGATTTTTGTTGCATTAAAATTATATATTAATTACGTATATAGTAATTTCTATGTGCACTTTTAAATTTTAAGATGTCTACGTTAAATTATGCGACATTATGTTTTGCATAATGTAATGCACATAATGCAGAATGCCCATCTCTAGTAACCATTTACTTCGCAATATTATATATCACTCAGTTCATTGTAAAAATAGTAATGTTTATATTTTTACAAATTAGAGCGTTTCTCGACCATCCCAGTAGATTTTACAAAACATCATCCCCAGTTTATACATACAATTTCACAGGTTCTTATGTGATGCATGGCTACAGTAGTAGTGCAAGAACCTTCGTTAAATGGATTGCTGGCCCCGCGGCTAAAACTTCAGTGAAAAGACAAATAAGCATTCTCACGTCACATAATGAAATGATCCTCTTTGTAGCTATATAGGAATTATGGAAAGGTTGGAATTGTATTATGAGTTCCCAAGGGAAAACCTCAAACCGAGAATCTAAGTTTATCATTTATTATTTGCTAGTGTAATGAATAAAATTTTCTTTTCTATTTTTATTAGTATAGTTTTTTATTCTTTATTATTATATTACATAGTTCTTCTTCGTTCCATTTTCATAGCAGTAACCGACTTTCTTTGTAAATACTTTAATTGTGTGTACTAAAATGGCAGTTGATAGTGGCTTGGTGGCTTATTCCATGCAAGAGCGTATACGCCCAAACAAATCGCGTATACGTTCTTACACAAAATTTGTTGATCTCTGCGCCATGAGCGTAAACGCTCAAAAAAGAGCGTATACGTCCAAAAAAGAACATACACGCTCAAATTAGAGCGTATACGTTCAAAAAGGAGTGTAAACACTCTAACAGAATAAAATGTATATAAGTGCCTGAAATTCAATAGAGAACGATCATGATTCAATTTCATGTCCATTTTCAATCCCTAATAACTAATAAAGAATATACTTATCTGAATTACCCTTGAGACTTTATCTTTTGATTTGACTTGTAACTTTAATAACCCCAATTCGACGGACTGAATTGACTTGTAACTTCAATTTGGCTTATTAAGACTCGGATTCTGGAACAGTTGTGGAATCAGATATTGCCATTCATATTAGTGACTTGCGGGAGTTGTGGTAGAGAACGAACCTTACGATTGGTTAATTCATCACGTGAACATAAAGTATCACTTGATCATCATCACAGTCCTTAATATCACCCACCCTTAACAGCATCACCTGTAGTTGCTTCACCCCTAATAATCACTCTTATTGTCTAACTAGTCCTCTATCAGTTATAAAAGACCCATTTCATTTATCCAAAGTTAACCTTATTTATCCGTACACCGTTAGAGTTAGATTGGCATCATTTCTGTCGTATTTTATTAGCTCTCCCTTTCAACGTTTACACTAGTCTTAACGTGATCTGAAACATACATAATGAGGGGTTTCAGAATTAAAAAAAAATAGCGTATTTCGAAAATAAGTAGGAGCTTAAAAAATCTTATTTGTAT